CCCCTCTCGGACGCGCGCTCTCGTCGTCCGCCCTGGCGGCGCGCGCCGAGGCTATTCCTGCGGCTGGGCCGGTGGGCGGCGGGCGAATCAAAGCCCCGATGACGAAAGAACGAAGCCTCCCCCCCGCCAGTCAGTCCACGGCCTTCTAGAACGCGGATTCCATTCATCACACATCAGCCCTGCTCGGGTCAAGAGCGCCTTGCCCAACGGCGTGTGGTGACACATGATGACGGTGCGATGGTGCTGCTCAGGTGGAATTTTTTGGACTTAATGAGTATTAGAGCACCACGAACAATTATTGACGCTGTGCTCTCTCGATGGTTCGAGTCACTAAATGCTGCATAGGCAATTGCAGTTTGTATAAGACAGCTCGAAAATGTCCTGCTGTAGGTTGCCAAATATTTAAAGAAGTTGTTGATTTGGAGGAGAATTCTTTCGGGAAATTTAAAATATGGATGGATGTATACCCAAAAATGTCAGCGGTTTTAGATGAAACATAATAATTAGGTGAAACATAATGTTGCATGTTTTGTAAAGTTTACATGTTCCAGGGCGTCGTTGTTTTTTTTTGTTTTTTTAATTTTAAGGTCACATAACATCTAGGTCATTAGCGACCAAGGGTCGTATTTTGTTTCCATTTATTTAATATTTCTGGGGAGCGAATCGAAATACTACAACACAATTTTGTTAACAAAACATAATTTCACTGAATCACGTTATAACTATGACTTACTTTTTCTAAATCGTAAAAAATATTATTAAACGTATTATTCATTGTATTGTCATTCAGTGTATTTCTTGTATTTACTTCTTACTATAAGATAATTCTACGTTTTCATTTAATTTTTGACGATAATAACACACAAATCAATCGATCAGTATTAATCGATACTCAACTTTCCACTTTCACTATCGCGTACAAGCGTACTCAAACAACACGAAATTAATTTTTCATTCAGCAAAAAATTGCTTGATAGCTATGCTGTCTCCCACGAGTATCTCCAAAACCATCGAAATAGATAGTTCTAAATTAACGCCTTCTGAAACTTCAACCATGTAACGTATTGTTTCCTATTTGTATGATATCCCATATTAACTCGTCATATGCCTTAATATATCGCACATTCTTTATTGCCTAGAAATATCGTATTTTGCATTGCGCTATTACAATATTAGGCTACAATGTAACTTTATAAATATGGCAACCTATAGCTGGACAGTTTCGAGTTGCCTTCTCGTAAGCAATTGCCTGTGCAGTATTTAGTGACCAGTGACTTCCTTGTTATATCAAGAGATGGCCAGATGAGACTGCTCAGATAGCGGTGTGTGAGTAAGAGAAAAAGGAGGTGAAAACCAGATACACTTATCTGAGAAATTCACGCCTGTGAAGAGCTTCGCATGTTGGGATCTCTTACCGTCCGCGATAGTGACAAGTAAGAAAAAACACGTGTAGAAGAGCACATGATAAAAACAGTACGAACGCGAAAGGATGTAGGTATTGTAATGGCTTAAAGGCCTTCGGCCTAGCCACATAGGATCAAGTAAGCTAATTTGTCTGTAATAATTACCTATTAAATAAATAAATAAATAAAAACAGTACACCCCGATTAAACCGTGGGGCGAATGGGCTTTAGATCAGCTGGGACGCGGTTCTCCATGCAAGAACTTCGTTACGATATTGAAGCTCGACGTGAATAACTCGACGCACGGACTATTCTATGTTTCATCTTCTGTTTTTCTGCCACATGTTCACTAGAGTGTCAGAGAATGCAGTTAGATTTGATTTTAAACACACATAATCGGACACAAACGCAATGTTTTCACAAGCAAAAATTCAATTTAAGCAATATTATTATTTTTACTTTGATCGGATAAGGGAACAACATTTTTATTTTCCTTGTGGTTTCTTCTCTTTGTGTCTCTAGTTGCTAACTTTATTTATAATTCAACTTGATGTAATATAAGATTGAGAGTACGAATTCTGTAGCTGAAGAAAACTTGCTCAGATTGCATCTCTTCCCCGTCCGTTGCACAACTTTAACTGTTTGACAGCAAATATTTTTTTAAAATATATACCTTTTCATTCTGTGGTTGGCACTTGTTCCTTCGAAATTGAGGCTCATCTGCCTAGGGGGTCTAGGGCCTAAGCAAGCAATATGTGTATGGTCCTACGTGTGGCTAATAACATATTAGTCCCCTGCTTCACAGGACACAGGACTCAGGCCAAAGCCGACACCCTTTCGTACAGCAAATGGACGTTGCGCGGCAGCGTGTCTTGGGATCGGGTTTCCTAATTGCTGCAATGTCACTTCGCACTACAAGGGAAGTCTACTTACGTTTAAGCTAACATCATTCCCCACCGGATGTTTTTCATTAGAGTAGTACACTTCTGCTAAAAGCCGTGTCTGGACAGAAATGTCCTCCTTAGCCATTAGGAAGACGAATCTGCTTAATGATTCTCTGCGGGCGAAAACAATGACACGAAAAAACATTCGGCGACAGATATCGATCTTACAAGAAGGAGCGCAAACGTAACAAAAATTATTAACATGAAATTATATACTACTGATGTGCAATTCGTTCTGAATTCCGTGGGGAATCTAGAAATGTTTGTTGAATGATATAAGATAAATTGCAGAATATTCTCGTTGAATTGGATAAGGAATTAGCCTCTGTTTTGGAAATGGACCAAAAGAGCGGCGAAAAATTGTGAAAGAATTTTGTAAGTGTGGGAGGCACCTTCCAAGATTAATATCATCTTGGAAATGGCCTGCAATATATAATCTGAACATTAGTTACGATACCAGTGAATTTCGTGTTGACAGGAAGAAAGCTTTATAATTCAAGGCTCAATAATAGACCATTCTACAATAATGTGCGTGAAGAAAATGCAGACACGAAAGTGAAATTTTTCAGAGAATGCATATGCAAGTTTCACGCAACAACATAAGTTTATACAAGTGATCAATTTCGCCAAAATTAATCTGGAACGTGCAAATTTTGCTTTGAAAATATTACTGGTAGGATAATTATTAGCTTTTTACATATACTAATAAAAACTGGGAAGAAATTATATTATTATTATTATTATTATTATTATTATTGTTGTTGTTGTTGTTGTTGTAGGATAATTATATTCATTAATAACGCACTATGATTTCAAAAACAGAATGTCTTCCAAAGTTTTTTTAAATATTATTTACGCTTTGTAACACGTTACATACACCTTACCATTTTCACTTACAATAAACATCGAACATATATAAAATTTTTGCAACTAATGTTTTATCATATGAATATGTAAAAAGTTTGAAAAAAATTGAATTTTTCATGTCACACAAGAACTATTGTTTCTGACAACAAATCTGGTATTACAATAGGTAGAGGAGTTATTGAGGATGCTTCAAGAATACTTTTCAATAACAAATGTTTTTCTTAAATCATTTATTTAAATTAATAAAGAGGTTCCCATTTAATTTCCTTCTTTTAGAGAAACCAAGGTAGAGTTGAGGGAAAGTATAGTTTTACAACGTGTTATTATTAACGGAATTTTGACGTTTTTACTTGTTCATCCCTCCCTTTACAGCCCCTTTGTGCTTTCATAATACAGCAATGCAGACCATGCAGGCCTTGAACGAACCTGTCGGGGTTGGGCCCATTGTACGCGCACGAATGCTAATGTACTAATATACGAGGGGAGCGTATTCGCATAAGGAGCGGATTTCAATGATTTTGCATATTTTAGTCCGTTGTTTCAGGACATAGCTACGTGAAATGTCTTAAATTTGGTGAGATTTGGATGCTTTGTAGATATGTTGGTACACATTTGATCTGTTTTTCTTGTTGGGGCGTATTGTCTAATTATAGGAGGATATTTTGAATATTTCGTTAAAATAAGATTTTATCTCTGAAACATTTCATTTTTTCGTAGAATATAATTATTTCGCTATTCGTGAGCTCGAAAGAACATGTCACTGTTGCGTTCTTTTTCTATTTTACAGTTAAAATATTTTGTGCAAACGCAGGATATTTCTTGATATAACATTTTTTAAAGCAGACGGAAGGAATGCAACAAGACATACAATGTACTTCACTAAAGTGAATATTTACTTCAATTATTGCTCCCGCGCAACAAGGTAGATTATAGTATTATATTTGTACAAAAATATATCTTTTCATTCCAAGCATACTTCTCTTGAATTTTGTTAAAAACAGTTTTGTACAAGAAAATAATATTGTCAATTTTGATTGCATATTAAAGTATATTATTTCAAAATTGTTACGTCACAAATGCATATTTTTAAAAGCATATTTGAAGACTTTTAGGGCATAGAAATCCTCTCCCTAATAATCACGAAATATATTTCGTAGACTAAATTATCCAATATTGAGTAATCGCTTCTAGAACTGTTTTGACCAGCAGATGGACAACAAACTTGAAATACACAAGTTGTTAAATATAATGAATTGAAAAAGTAAATTCAATACTGTAATGCATATAAATTATTGTGATGCTTGTTTTGCGATATTTCCGTTAAATAAAAACCTTCATTTTTCATTGTTTAGTAATATTCAAATATGTAATCACTCTTAAACTCGAATCAATTTAATTTTATATATTTTTCTTTTTTAACATGTATGGTTCGCGTTCTTCCAATCGTGAGCTGGGAGTCCACGTGCGATTACAGTGAACCGAGTCCAAGAGCGAAAACACTTGCTTTCCGTCCAACGTCCGACTCGGAGCATCTCGAACCTTCCAAAGCGTGGCTTCCAATTCGCGGAAAGCGGCGTCGCCGTTCGTCGAAAGAAGCCCACGGGGATGACAAGGCGCTCGGCTCCGGCCGGCCAGCCGCTTCCTTTCGCGGCCCGGCGCTCACTTATCGATTTCCGCGCGGCGCGCCGCTCGCCGGCGCTGGATTTTGTGACGTCGTCGCCGCGGAGGGGGCCGTGCGCGGAGGGCGGGGAGGGGAGGGTGTGTTGGCGGCCGTGGCAGCCATGGCCGCCTGGCAGCGTGCCTGCCGCGCCGCCGCTTTATAAATACGCCGGCTGGAGCGGCGCGCGCACCGCAGACGGACTCGAACAGCCGGCCCGAGCGCACACACGCCGCTCCGCTCCGCTTTTCCTCTCAACCGACGCAGAAACCCCTCGAGTGCGACGACGCAATGGCCGACGGCGGAGTCAAACGCAACATCCCCATCAAGCTGGGCGACTTCAGCGTCATCGACACCGAGTTCAGCAACATCCGCGAGCGCTTCGACGCGGAGATGCGCAAGATGGAGGAGGAGATGTCACGCTTCCGCAGCGAGCTCATGAACCGCGAGTCCAACTTCTTCAAGAGCACCACCAGGTGAGGCGACCGCCCCGGCCGGGCCGCCCCGACCACGACCGCCCCTCGACCACCTGCCGCCGCCGACCGCCCCGCGACCGAGTTGGACCAGCTGCGACCTCGCGATTGTGTGTTTGTTCTCAGTGTGAAATCGAGATGTTTTAAAATCGCGCAGGCAGTGAACAGAAAAAGACTGTTATGGAGTGTACCGCTTTAAATTTATAGTTAGTGTTGTCACTCCCTTTGCAAAAATTGCGACACTTTTGTGCATACCGCTCAATTTAATGTGAGTGTTGTGAGAATCAGTAATGTGTGAAAAGCATTACGTACTATGTTTAGAATTGCTGCTATACCAATAGTTTTTTTTTCGCTACGTAAACTATTTGATAATTAAACTGCACATTGATAAAGTCGCACACGTCTAATTTGAAAAAAAAAAAAAGTTAAAAAAAGTCTACCGTTGTACACTCGGTGCAGCGCAGTGGCCCGGTGCAGCTGTGTGGCTGCTGGTCCAACTCGGAGGGGGGGGGGGCGTGCCGGCGTCGCGCGGGAACTTGGGAGGCGCGCGTTCGAATCGCGACGTGTGACGCGACCTGCAGCTGTTCGGTCTGAAGCCCACATCAGCTCCTGCCGTGGATTTACGACGCAATGGAGTTCACAGGCGAAACAGCCAGTGCGCAAGACGCAGTAAAGTGTCGTTTGTAGCCCCTGCTTTGGCGTATTTTGCCCCCTAATATTGATAACGCCCCGTGATTTTGTTGAAATTATCTGAACCCCGATAACTCACATTTCTATCTTAAGAAATTTCGCCTTGCTCGTGACACTTTTCTTTATGCATTTCGGGAGGGACGCAATATCCGTGAGACCTGAAATCCCTCGTTCTTTCGATTCGTGATATCCAAATGCATTGATAATTATCAATGACAATTTGTATACTAATAATTTGGAAGCCCATACATTCCTTCTATTTAATTGAAATTGCAATACTATGTAGACTAAATCCCTAAAATTCCAATATTACATTACATAATTTCGATTTTAATTATTATTTGATCAGTAATTTTTTTTCATGTTACAAAACCCTACATTTGCGAGTGTTATAGTTCGCATCTTGAATCCAGTTGTCGCAGAGCATTCTCGGGTCGCGTGCACACGGAACTGATTCTGAACGTGCGCCTCAAAAAGTGCGGTTGACGTAACGCACCTGATGGGTGTTCGCTTTAACACTTGTTGCATGCCTCTGTCTAATTGTGTCTGCGTAACATGTGTGTGTCGTGTTGAGAGCGTTGCGCGTAACCCTTCCTGCTCTCTGGTGCTCGGTTGAGTGTTGTTGCGGTGGTGTTGAGTCTGCATGTTTGTTTGTATGGTATCGTATTCTGAAAGTAGATGAAAAGTCAGATTGTTTAGATGAATGTGTGGTGGATTGTGCGTTCCAAGTTGACGTATGTTTTGAGTTGAATATGAGCTGTGGGATGCTTGACCCAATTTGAGTAAATGATACTCGTATTTGCGAATGATTCATCTGATATTTTAATAAATTTCCCGCTATGTCGAAGTGTTATTACTTACGTATACTCTTCATCGTATCGTGCTGGGTGATCTAATGCGAGTTAAATGATTCAGATAACACGCTAGCACTGGTGGTGTGCAAAAAGGCCCCATTCGTTTGGGTCAATTGTCACTTATTCCGAAAGTCCAATTGCAGTTCTCTAACTTCGTTCACGAGTATTATTTTGTGCTCTGTGGTTAGCGCTTTGTAGGATAATGTCGTATGTTCATGCTGGTGTCAACCTCATTCTTATTTTATTCAGCCCGTGCGTGCTGTCGTAAGTATATTGATATAATGCGGTACTTGGTTTTTTCATTGAATGGATAGAAGCAAATCATATTTTAATATCAGAGTTCCTGTTAATCGGGGCTCAAGGGTAGCAGAAGCAGTTGTCAGAGAAATTACAAAAAACAGTTCAAAGTAACAGTACATTGAACTATGGAACACAAAAACTTAAATTTTTTCGCTGCAGTGGCTTTGAGCTGGTGCGTGCGTTGGGCCAAGGGCCACACATTGGGCCGTGTGTCCTGGAAATTTCAAAAGGGCCCGCGACACCCAACGTAATAAAACATTTTGTTTCGGCAAATATCAACTCCTAAATTATCTAAATGGTTTAATCTGATACTTTGAGGAATTCATACACGACATTTTCGAAAGCGCCGTGTAACAAAACCAGCTTGAGAGTGGTTTAACGTAAAATCAATTATATTTGGTAATTGCGCCATTAAATTTATAATTTTTTATTGTTATTTTATATTTATTTACTAAAAATTGACGCATGTCAATACAGGAGCATAATGGAAAAGAGGGCCCGGAGTTGCCCCGAAATGAATTGAGAGCCCTTCCCCCCTTGAGTTATGCTGCGCACGCCTAACGCTGTCATCGATTCTGGTATTAGAACATCCCGGAAATTCATGAAAGAAGTAGCTCCCCAAACAATGTGTTTGTCGTTTGTATCCACATGGCGATATATCATATCTTTGTGTCTCTTGACTTTGCTAATATTGGAAGAAAGATTTTCCGTGTGCTGTAGGAATAGTAATGGCAATGATTACGTAGTGTACTTTCTCTAAATTTATCTTTCAATAAATAAGGATACTGATATAAAAAAAATTGTCTTGCAAAATAAAGAACAATTAAAAGTTTTATTAATAAATTCTACTCTACGATTAGCACAACGTTAGAATTCAATCTTAAAATATTAATTAATTTCCCTTCACTGTGTATTTCGCATCACAAACACTGCTTTTAAATGCGGGCATTTCGGCCTCATACTAGTGTTCGGCTACAATAGGTGTACCTTCTTTCTTTCTCATTATTTGTGGAACTCTCAGATGAAAACCTCTGTCCCTCTATCCAAATACTGACGTATTTGATACAAAATTAAATACACACAGGTAATGCAGTTTAAATGGATAGAAATATCGATTTATAAGTACAGAACCTCTGACCGGAAGGTCCTGCGTTCCGAGCCCGACGGTGGCAGGATATTCGACACTAGCTTGTCAGCTTGGTCGAACCACACGGAGGAATTCTAACGCCCGGCTGCTGTGATCGGTAGTTTCCCGTGGTTTCTCCGATCAACACCAGCGAATGCCGGAGCAGTACCCTAAAAAAAATTGGCCAAGGAACACGCGCTTACATTTCTCTTTTCCTATCATCATCCCTTACGTACACACACACATGCACTACCCTACCGCACAGTCGGGAGGCCAATCGGGAACTCCGAAGTTGTTTCGGCTGAGGCGGTGCCCCGCTGGTGAGAGATTCGTAGTTACGGAAAACTCGGCTAGCTGACCCGTTGGCCGCCGCCGGGTCTCACCAATCAGCCGGAGAAGATAACCGCCACCTTCCTAGGAAAATGCGTGCACCACGCTTACGAGACTACTGAAAATAGCAGTTGACGCGGCCAGAAACGCGAAATAATGAATGGATGTATCGGTACATTTCTGAGCTTCCGCCTGCAGCAGTTGACCGTATTTCGCCTGGCCCCGTGTGTGTGGGCGTGGGCGAGTGCAGCGCGAGTGCAGCGGTGGGAGCAGCGCGGCGGTTGCGTAACGGAGCCCAGGTGCAGTGACGTCACGGTTACGCAAGGCGCTGGACGGACGGACGGGGCGGGGCGGGGCGGGGCGGAAGCGGGAGGGGGAGGGGGAGGGGTTTGGACGGCGTCCGGCCACGGCGAGACGCTGCCTCCGCGTCGTCTGTTTTTCTGGAGCGCTTCGCGTGGATTAGCGAACACGCCCTGGCCGCGGCTTGAGAAATCCTGGAAATGGGATCATCACTAGAAGGAATGAGTTTGTTATTTTGGCGACTTTTATTTAAATTTCCGCACTTTCCAAATTTGTTCGAAATATGAAGGAAAAATGAACAGATCCGATCTCTGTAGGTTTCAGCCGGTTTGTTTAATATTTTCCCGTGCTTCGAAGCATTTTTTGAATCTAAGTGGGAGGTTTCATATGTTAAGAAATTTAAAGATTAAAATAATAAGAAAGTTATACATTTTTAATATCGAACATTTTATATCTTGTGTTGGAGTCGCGGAAGGCCAAATATCCATAATCAAATTTGGCACTAAATAGCTATCGAGATTTCTGTCGTAAGCCTATAAAGTATTCCAAAACAACTGAAAATTTTTAATTGTTGTCAAGTCTCCTAAAAATTTTTGAGGCCCAAGTTCCAGAGGTTCAGTCCAACGCCGCTATAACCGTGTGGTAGTGATCTTTTTTTTTTATTCCTCCCATTTGTTTGTGTTCCACTTTTAGACTTGTCAGTTTCAACGGCTGAACGATGGGTTTTCTCCGTTGTGTGCTCCGTGTTGTTCTCGGCGGCTCAGAATATTCTGGAGACTTAGACAGGAGTGTACGTAAGCTTCCGCGGCTCGAATCCATGAATTCTCGGCTATTCGGGAGACGCCGCGTCGTTGGCTGGGGTGCCAGCCCACGACGCGGCGTCTCCCGGATAGCCGAGAATTCACGACTTAGACAGGAACCAATCAAGTGTTCTTTCTGAAACGCCCCAACGTTTGTGGGGATTGTTTTCGCCTTAGATTATCGTATCTGTGAAACTTTTGTACAACATATCAACAGCCGAATCAAATCGCTATAATGTGCGAACATGATAGTCGTATAGATTAATAATGAATAAAAAAATTTAAAAAAATAAAACAGTTCTTAGATCTTCGACTTTTACATTTATTGGCAAGAGAAAAGGCCGGCAGAGAATGTCCTCCTGACTGATTGAAATAGTTGGAAAAGTCAATGTCAACTCTCGATGTATCTGTAGCAATGAAACATTTTTTTAAGTCTTGTAACCCTTGCAGCTACGTAAACAATAATTTATTTGGTGGTTCTGGGCAATACAACAATTATTTTATTGTCTAATAATAGAAAAGGAATGAATAGGAATGCGAACTCTATTTCTCATCTAATGCGATTTAAAAAAGACCACACCGAATACAATTTTTTGTTTTATATTTGAAAAAAGTGTTTTGTCGTTGTGTGTATTTTTTGCTTGTTTTTTAGTTGGTAGCGATAAGATAATTTATTTTCAACTTAAGCGACCAGAAACCGATCGAAATCGCTGAGAAGGACCTATCGGCATTTCCTCTCGAGTAGCAATAGTCACATCTCCAGCGCTCCTGCAGTCATAAAAGAAACGATTTTTTAATGAAGCTCTTTGATCTGGGAGGAGGAGCTCCTGCCTTCAACTGCCATCTGAGTACGCTTGTATTTGGGCAGTACTCTTCCCTCATTCCAGAGCCTTGCGGGCAGGGGCGCGCGCACGGCGGAAGCTCAACCGTAGCTGTCACTTTTTCTCTTATCCCATCGCAAGCCGACGGGACCCGTGAACTCTAAATTGTTACATACTTCTATCTAACATGACGCATCAATCTTGCATAAATTATGCAACATATTTCAATCATGCATCAGTCACGTAATTCAACGATGCAGTTGTCCCCCGCTGTGGCGCTGCCGTCGCCGTCGCGTGCGCCGCCGGGCGCGGCGTGACCTACGCCACCTTTTATGGGCATCCACTCTAACCCCAGGCGCGCCGGCGCTCAAGGTCGCGCGGGCAGCGGACCCGCCGCCGCCGCCGCCGCCCCGCCGCCTGGAAGGGGGGAGGGGGGGGGAGCCCACGGCTCGCGCAGCCTCCGCAGCGAGAGAGGCTTGCTTATGCGCCTCGCGTACGAAGGCCGGCACCTGGGACGAGTGCGGTACTGCGTCGTCCGTGGCGACTCTGCTGTTTCGGTTGGCATTGAACGCTGGAGTTGTGCTGTGCGTCGCGTTGCTTTCGAGCAGGTAGATGAAATGCTATTTATAAAATAGAGTAAGGCAATGGAATAGGGATTTTTTCACGAACGGACACTAAACGATCAGTATTATTGGATATTATGAGATGAGCGAGGGAAGATGTTTTCTCGTTGGAGAAAGAAAATAACTATTATAAATATTGAATAAATAATTTTAGTTTCAACAATTCTTACGCTTGATGCGTATGAAATGAAATAGCATTCTAGAAAAATAAGCTTTTCGAGGAACAGAGAAAAAATAATTCTTTATGTGCACTAGTGGCGATATTCCAACACATACTTTCTCCCATTCTTCCCGGCAATTGCTATTTTCAAAAGTTTAGAGAAATTAACAAAAATGAGACGTGCGACATTTTAAGAAAACATTTGGAATCGTTTTGAAAAAAAAAACAACCTTATCGATTGTATTAATTTCAAGCCGACATTTTTTTTGCAAAAACTACTCTTTTGGTTTTCAAAATTTGTACGGGACTATTTTTAAGAACTAGTTGTTTTAGTTATTTAAGAAAAAAATCTATCGTGAGAATTTTTTCTTTTGCAATATTTTTTGTTGCAATTTTCGAAAGTACCGGGTGTTTGCTGAAATTAGGACCAGCAGATTTTTTTACTGTCGTTTGTTCTATATGCAGAAAAAAAAATTAAGAAAAAACATTGGCGCTTTTGTGAGAAAAGTTTTTAAATGTTGAGACTTTATGTAAAGTACAACCACAGGATCTTTTTCAAACCCGCAGCCCCGCATCTTCTTTTAGGTCAGGGCTGCCCACCCTGCGGCTAATGCGCGCCGTAAGTAAATATGCGAAATTACTAGGGGAATAGAGCAAAGACGATGCACAGCTTTGCAACTTGCAGAATTTTCTCTCTGTAAACAGTGGTCGTCAGTTGTGTGCATCGCGAAACTTAATGCTTTCACTTGCTAAATAAAAACGCAGATATTGTTGGTTAAAATAGTCAGGGTACGGATCGCGGAAAACAGAATACCTTTCCAGGTTAGTCATTTGGACGTTTGGGATGTCAAATAATTCAAATCGCTCATTTTTATATAAAAAAGAGTGCCGCCCTTTTTGTTAATCAAAGGTAACACACTGAAATTCACTAAGTGCGTTGCGTAGGGGCAAACAAAGGAGTTGATTGAAGTTTATTGATTGTACTGGTCAGTCTCTCCCCTTTCCGATGTGATACCCGAATTAATTGCCTTTGGCGGAGGGTAATGAGTGGCGTTGGGAGGAAAGGGCTGCCGAGGAAGGGCCATAGGGCGCAGTGTGTTCCGCAAAGGGTTAGGGATGGGAGGGGGAGGCTGACGTGTCGTGTGAAGAGGGAAGAGCGCTGGGGAGCGTGGGTCGCGGGCGGTGACGTCACCGGCCTTGTGGGCAACTCGCCTCGCCTTACCGCAGCCTCCTCCGCCCCGCCCCCGCCCCGCTTGCCTCATCGCCCTCTCCCCCCTCGAGCCACGCGGCGCGGCACTCAGAGACACGCCCCACATTCTGAGCGTCTGTCCAGACGCCGTGGTTTGAGCAGGGCGCCTCCGAACGAATCCATCTACTCGAGGCATATTCTTGAAAGGAGACGAGGAGAAAACAGACATTTTCTCAAATGCTAGGCTTATTTTAGACGTGAACACTGGGTGGTATGAATAAAAATACGCACGTGCTATTTACTCGCATTTTATGAGCATGCAGTTTGTAGTATAAGAATAAAAGTTTTGAGGACTTTCTCACAAAATGAGTAAATTCTCAATCATGAGAAAATTCTGGTTCCCCTAAGCTCAATAGAACATATGCTCACAACTAAATTTATTAACATAATTTTCTCGAATGTTAATCCTATTTTAAGAATTGTGAAATTGCAATTTTTTTTCGAATACTGGTACTGAAATTGTGATTAAGCCAATTTTTCAGGAATAAATTTAGGGAATTTTGTGCAAAAAAAATTTATAATAAATTTTCGGTGAATCCTTAATTTTCTTGAATAATCCCAACGTTAGATTTGAAAAGAATCCTATTTTTTCGCTTTCGAAAGCAGAGAATTGAGTCGCAAAAGTAGAGACCGCTAAGTTCTCAACATTCTAGACGGAACAAAAACAATACAAATTTGTGAAATTTTCCGAAAAAAATGAAAAGATTCAGAATACAATGACAATTATGAAATTTCTGACACGAGATTAAAACACTGCTCTTGTGGAACGTGGAACATTCTTCTGGATTAGGGATTCCATATTTTTAAATTGAAAAAGCGAGAAGCAACAGAAGATAATGTTCTCATTTGAAACAAAATCCCATTATTAAGAATAATTTGTAAACACTGAAATAATTTGCTCTTTTCGGTGCGTTTAAAATCTGTGCGTTATGGTACGAATGAACTGACAATTCTGAAACTGAGACTAACTATTATTAAAAAAACTTCTAAAAAATTGGATAAAATACCCCATGGCAGATATTATATTCCACTTACAGTTGAAACAGACAGCAATTTCTTCTACAAATGGTAACTGAGCCTTCAAATTTCCACTGAAAACACTTTCTTTCGGGAATTTTGTTGCTTTCCTTATTATAATAGTTTTCATTATACTGCCTGCAATTATTTCGCTTACGAATAACTTAGCGATCTCCGAACATGCGAACGAAAACAAATGACGCAAACAAAAGAAAAAAAATCCTACAAATCGTTCTAAGGTTGACCTTCAGTTCACCTGGAAATTCAAAGCACGGATTTAAAATAACCGCACGTGCTATCAGAAAAAATAGATAGTTGTATTTGTAATAAAAAAAATAGATAAAAAATAAAAAGAAAAGAAAAAAAGGAAGAAAAAAGGAAAGAATAAATAGAATATACGAGTGTCCTCCCGAAACGATTTGTCACAGCAAAGGTGAATCCGTGAGGGACGTGTAGGATCCGCATCCTGCGAGGAAGCCGGCGCGCCCCGCCGTGCCGGTGTGTGGAGGGTGCCGGAGAGAGGCCACGTGGCAAGCGGTGCGGTGCGGCCCCTCGACCGCCAGCGCATCGCCTTTTATGTCCCGCGCTCTCCTCTGCGCTTGCGCAACAGCCGCCGCGCCCCGCCGCGCCTCGCCACGCCTCGCCCCACCGCCCCGCGCGCTAGGCGCTCTTGAGGGAGGGAGTGATTGGTACCTTTAGGGTGAGCCCTTTTGCTGTGGAATGGCCACGATGCCTCAGCGGTACGGTTTTCGGGAAGCCTTAGAGAAGGGCTGTCCAACTGGTGGGCCGCAGGCCGAGTGTGGCCCGCGGGGCCATTCCTTGTGACCTGCGAAAAATTATTAGGCACATATAAGTCCCATTCGTCCATATTGGGAGGAAACATTGCGCGCTAAACACGCGCCCTGTCGTAATCAACACTCCTTGTGATAGAAAAATAGGTAAATTTTAGATTTAAGGACCTTTTTTGCTTGTCATTTTAGAAATTCAAAAGCACCCCCAATGAATTGTCGTTATGCATTGTTCCATTCCACCTCCCCTCCTCGTTTCAGAGGATTCGGGCTAATTCGGTATCAACAATACGGGGTCACGTGTGGATCGCCCAAGTAATGAAAATGTCCCGCAAACCATATTAGATTTTAGTTGTGGTCCTTGAGGCTTTGATGGTTGGACACCTCTCCCCTACGGTTACAGTCCCAACGGTGCGCGGAGTACGGTCGAATACGAACCGAACTTTGAAGAAGAATTCTAGAGGCCGGCCGCTTTAATGGGTGGTTTTCCCGTTTCTCTGATCGTAAGAAAAGGCCCACGTGCAATATTTTCGTCCTCTTTCTTGTGTTCTCATTTTCGCGCGCGCCCACACACACACGCACACGCACACACACGCGCGCACACCACTACCTTACAATACACTATCAGTATGGGAGCTTGCAGCTTGTCGGGCCCGGGGGCGGTGGCCCGGTAAGAGAAGAAACCTGGAGAGGGGAAACACGCAACTTGCCGTGTGTGGGACGGAAAGGGGCATCCAGGCATTTTCCAGGATACAGCGTGTACTTGATGATACATGACACTTGATTACATTTGAACAGTTCATATAACAACCATTGCATCAATGCTACTAAAGTTAGTATTGAAATAAAGGAATCGTGGTGCTTGGTGGCCGTCGAGGCCGCTTGGGGCGCTGATCTCACCGACGCGTGACGCGGCATCAGCGACGTCTTCCGCCCGCGGCACCTGCGCGCGCACGCGTGCCTCAGCTGCGCACGCCCCTTTAGGGCGGGCGTGTAACGAACGTGTTTTATTAACGACCCTGTATTAAAAGGCAGCTCGTTATTCGCTGCGGTCTGTAAAATATGGTCGTGTACAAAACTTAGCAATATTAGCGAAACAAAACTTAGCTATATATACTTAGCATTAAGAGAATCGAATTATCGGAAATGAAATTTACTGGATGCACAAATTATGCATCTATGAAAATATGAAATTTTTAAATGAGTGAGTGAGGGAGGGAATGTAGTACAAAGACCATGAAGCGAGTTGCATAGTACCATAAAAACAAGAAGCAATGGAATAGCGTGTACCTTCCATAACACAACACACTGGAGTCGGAAGGAGATACGTGTACGCAATCAGTGTCAGAAAATTTATATCAATTTCATTCGAGCTTGTGGATTCTATTGTTAGTCCCTGACGTGTGAGCAAAGCCAAGCCTGCAGTTCTCGAAGACGTTCAGCTCCAAAAGTACTAGATTAATTTATAGCGGATGATGCGAACTTGGCCCTCGGATGAACCAGGTAGCAAGATACTTCAAGAAACTACAAATGGTGTTGGTACATGACCACGACAATGTCTGAAAATGTATTAATAAATCATAGTTTCTTTAATCGATAGCAAAAAATACTACTGTCTATTGACATCTTTTAGAATTTTGTTCTGTATGCGATATAAAAATAGTCTCTCGTAAATCGATAATATCGAATAATTATACCATAAATGGAAGTTCTGGGTAGTGAATTATTTTCATAACAAGGAATTTGCATTGAATTATTCATTATTGGGTTCTGCAAAAGGAACCGCTGACTGCAATATGTTTTGTTAGTATTTGTCGTAATCAGAAACCAAAATTGAAATAAAAATCCATAAAGGATAGATTTTCTGGCTTTTTCTACAGTGGTGCATTAGGTTTCTTTTATTCATTCAGTCTCAGATTACGGAATATCCATTGTATACTTGGCGTTTATTTCTTACGCCTTGTTCTGGAACAATTTGTATTGTTTCCTCGCACATTAAAACGAGACAATGCGTAAGCAGTTTGAATGCATAGACTGTGGTGCTGGGAATTCCTTTGTGTGGTAGAAAGCTAACGATAGCTCTTGAAATGTTTAATATTTCCACAGAATTGAACTTAAAATCACTCATTGATTCAAGTACATAAAATCATAAATAAAATAAATACATTAACTAAATAAATACCGTACAAGAACGTAGTAGTTCTATTTATAACATATTGAAAATTTGCCTGTTCCAATTCAATCTAATCTTCAAGATCTAGGACGCATGTTTTTCGAATTATTTTTAATTGCCATGTGTGTTAAAGCGTAATTGTGTTGCTGTTGTATGTGTACTTGCCCTTTTCTCAACATTATAATCTGCTAACTTTAATTGTACGCAGAGAATTCTCTCTCCAGCAGTAGAATGTTTACGAGCTGTTGTGTCCATTGTTTCTTAGATATGGTACAAAACAGTCGAATTTCCTTCTATCTCCACTCCCTCTTTCTCTCATATATAATGCGCGACAGAAACTGCTGTTTCAGTACCTCGTGAACAAAGTAGTGAATATAAACAAATAGCAGCGGATAAATACTTGGTAACGTTGATTCTTCGTTTGGTCAACTTTCGTAAAATCAAAATTAAATAATTTTCCTTCTAACTGTATCATTTCTACGGATGTAATATACCTATTAGTAAAAAACGATAAAATATTTTAAACTTGTAACGTTTTGCTTGTTATTATTATTTTTATTATTGTTTATTATTATTATTATTTATTATTATTATTATATTCACATTCTACATATGTATATCCAGAGAGATAAGGTATTGATTTAGTAGTATGAATAATTATCTTAAATAACTATATATGGACGAATGTATTATGAACGATTTAGCTTGATTTGATTTATTTTCTTAAAAGCATAGTAAAGCTTCCTTCTCCTTGTGAGTGTTAGAATGAACCCAAAGGCTTTTAATGGGATGGCATAGTTATTTTAATGCTGGGGTCTGTTTATCTGCGTGTTTTGTAGGTTGTGAAAAGCTAGTAAGCTAATAATACCCCCATTGCAGGAGACTCGGCTCGTTTGGCTGAGAATATTAAACCCCATTTTCCTTAGTTCTTCGTTCCAAGATACGCAATCTGGGTGTTGCAGGCGTCTTATTTAAAGCGCCATTTCCCATCTCGAAATAAAGCCGCTTCTTTCGAAGTTCGACAGCTGTAACTTCTTCGCTGTCTGTCTTTATTTCAGTTTTACGAAGTTCCGCTGCAACTTAAAAAAAAACAACTACTGGTGCTACAAATGGCACTTTCTCGTTCTGGGTAGTTTTCTCATATTTTCATTCTGCGCCGGCTCTACGGTTGTGCACCACCTTATTCCAAGCTGCTATATTTTGGCGCCATTTTTTCCACATTTCCCTAATAGTATTTGACGGATATGATCATGTTAAGAATTTTATATCCTTTTTTAACCTAGACCTAATTGAATTTTTTTAAAAAAATTGCAACCTTTACAAGTTTTGAAAAGAAATTTAAAGAAATAATTTGGATTTTTTTTAAAGAATGAAAATGTCTTCATGTAATATTCCCCCATAAATCAAAGAATTTGTTTGAAATTCGCAGTCTCATGTCAAACGAGGTCGATACCCCCTAATATACATTTTGGCAAAATTCCTACTCTTTGGGCGCTAGAGTTCCACACGACGGAAGGATGTTTTCCCGTAAACAAATTTTTCGATATCAAGAACCTAGAAATCGTGGATCTTGACTATACATGCTGAAGGGAGTAATTTACTTTTTGTTGTTAGAAGATTTATTCACTTTTTGGGTTAGAGGTCCCCACAACACGAGTTTTTCTGTCGGAAAAATCGCCCGTTTTGCCTCATCAATACTGATCGTTAACTACATACAGTATATTAGAGTATCTTTTAGAAACTTTAGTTTTATGTGAAACGATGAGATTTTCATTCATATTCTTGAATTATTAACATCTCTAATGAAATTATTCGGAAACATTTCTCGAATAAGGCGAAATTCTAGTTAATCTGATTATTTATAATTAAAATGTACGCAGTTTGCTTCAGTTGTTTCAACAGAAAAATGAATCGGTGCAGCCTACTGTAGCCAAGACAGAAAAACATTTCTTAGAATCTTTCGTTCCTCATGAATCACTGTGATCCGGACGCATTTATGAATGTTTCATCTTTTTTAATATGAAAATATGACCACTAAACAAATCTCGGGTTCGGAGAATAACCTGACTCGCTGCTAGTAAGTTTTGTGGCAGGAAAGATTTCAGTCATTTCAGTTTACATTTTTTGTTGTTTTTTATTTATTTTAGGTCACTTTATAAACAACGAAGGTCATTGGCGACTATTATTAATTTACATATCAATAACAGTTATACCTTATAACAATCAGAATTATTAACTACAAAATTATACTCCAAAGATACATTTTATAAATTATAACAAACATAATTTTGGTTTTTGATAACTGCTTATTCAGTAAAATTCATATTTTATTTCAACAAATACATATATTTTACCATGAAATCAGTCTTCTTCATTTCAGCGCAATTGGTATTATAGCGTTGTACAAGAACATTAAGGAAATATAAAATCTAATTTATATTTTTTATATATACTTAATGTCCCTATGTCTTAATAAAAGTCAGATTAGAACAAAATATGTTTTTATAAGAATACCGTAACTTGAAAACAGTTTCCTGGAACATTTGAACAAATTCGTTGATCGCAAAGTTTTCACGATGTGGATATCATGTCCGTCTGCGTTAGTTCTCATTTGTTCTGTGACCTTTAGATGATAACTTACCGCACACTAATGAGCGGCGGTGTGGGAGGATGCTTTTCGTGGGCAATGGTGGGTGGTGGTTTGCTGCTGTCCCAGTGGATGCGTGTGATCATGACGGGTTGAATAACGATGGACCTTACCGGGTGAGGTTCTCAGGGCATTAACTGATGTCACTGCAGTGCCTGTGACCGGGAGGTCCTAGGTTCGAGTCCCGAGGGGGTGCAGGACTTTCGAC